CTCACTAAAGTGGCCCCAACTGTGCTCGTGGGAGCAGGGGACGTGGTACGGGGGAAGGGTGCTAGTGGGTGCTGGGGCAGGGGACAGGGTGCAAGTGGGGGCAGAGAGTCCTCATGCACCCGCCTCCTCCCAGGACTCCCCGTCCCCCTCCCCGCAGAGGAGAGAAGCCCTGTTGCACGCCTCCTCTGGGGCCAACGCATGCCTCCCATCACGCACCCCCTCCAGGCCTGACTCCCTCTGCCGTGGTACGGGGGAAGGGTGCTAGTGGGTGCTGGGGCAGGGGACAGGGTGCAAGTGGGGGCAGAGAGTCCTCATGCACCCGCCTCCTCCCAGGACTCCCCGTCCCCCTCCCCGCAGAGGAGAGAAGCCCTGTTGCACGCCTCCTCTGGGGCCAACGCATGCCTCCCATCACGCACCCCCTCCAGGCCTGACTCCCTCTGCCATGGAGCAGGGAAGCCCGCACAAGTGCCCCCTCTGGGGCCGACCCCCCCCTGCAGAGGAAGAAGTCCCATTGTGCGCCTCCTCTGGAGCCGTTGTGAACCTCCTGCAGAGCAGGGAAGCCCCCATCGCGTGCCCCCTCCAGGCCCGACTCCCCACTCCCACAAAGAAGGGAAGTCCCAGCGTGCGCCTCTGGGGACTCCCCTGGTAAGTTCCTGGCATGCCACAGACCTGGGGCAAGGAAGCAGCCAGCACATTTCCGGAACCCCCGGAAGTGGCACACAACTGCAGGACTTCCGTCCACCCCGCGGGAAGCTGCCACTACCTCCATTGCTGCTGTAGGTAGGTAGTGGGGCTTCTTGGGGGTGGGGGAAATAGAGGACCCGGAACGCCTCGTGATCAACTGGTTGAGGCCTCATGATTGACCAGTCGATCGCGATTGATGGGTTGGTGACCATGGCTCTACATTATTTCAAGAGTCCTTCTCTAGGACTCAAAATTACAATGATACCCATGTAATTTTGGAATAAAATATTCTCCAATATCCAGCTATTTCTGCCAGTCTGTTGATCTGACCTCTTGCCACCAGGAGGACTCCAGAGAGAATATGAGAACCTGGGGAAAGGTACTGACTTGGCTGACCACATGAATTCATTTTCATTTGTCTTTCAGTTTTCCCATTTTTAATTCTTTAGGACCTATGATGCTTTTATGTTGACTTAACAAAGATGAGACTAAATAAGTTGCTAGCAATTGGAGGAGGCTTTGAGTACAACAGTAATTATATTGTTGTTTTGTGTTTGACACTGGAGTCCTTTGATGATGACATTTCTCATTCCAGAAAACAGATATAGCCTTACTCCTGAATTTAAAATAGGAAAGAGGAGAGCAGCATCTACATTAACACCAGAACACTATTTTAGTTCTGATGTCGTCAGACAACAAAATGAAGAAAAATAGGAAAATATATCATCTAAAGGTAGGAACTTCAACTCTGAAGTATTAAGTTGCATTTCTTCACTTTAACCTGACTTTTTTTTTAAAGATTAAGAATGTGAGTGGATGTTTCTCAGCTGTTGTTTAGAAGTAACTCTAAACAAAATGTAAAAACAACTCTGACAAGAGGTAGTGTCTGAAAGGTGGGCTAGCCACGTAAAGTAAATTTGACATATTTCCTTGCAGGCCCCTTTCTTAATAACAGCTGCTCTCCTCTGCCCCATCCCTCTGGCCTTGACGTTTTCCTTCAGCAGGCCCAGCTCTGCTGAGCAAACCTCTTCACACTGCTTATTTAATAAATGTGCAATACCTTTTAGGACATGGCTGGTAAACTGTAGACAATAAACATTTCTGATAAAAGGGCTGTTAGTGAGAAGTTGATTTTTATCAAATGCTGCACATCATCTCCTAAGACAGCATATGAAAAAGATCTAGGAAGAATAGGTAAACATTTACCCCTACAGTAAAGTGAGACCTTTTAAGAATGACCAGCTTAAAACAGCTTATAACAGTCTTCATACTTTAATAGATTTGATTTTCCACATGGCTTCATTTTGTCTGGGTGGCTAACTGACACAATTTATAACTCTCTTCCTTTCCCAGGCCACTACAGTACACCATTCAGTACAGCATGCCTTAAAGCTTGTCTGCATTATATGACCAAACTTCCATTCATTAGTGTTTGAAACACCTCAGCTGTGAAGGGCTCCTAAATGCTACCATGTGTGACAGTGCTGCACAAGAGCAGTATCAAGAAAAAAACATACTGGGCTTTAATCAGAGGCCACTGCTTACTACAATCCCCTTTCAAAAGGTTTCAAACATCCCCCCCCCCAAAAAAAAGGGCTGAAAAAAGCTGTAAATCCAGGGAATAAACACAAGTACAAATGAATGGATGACAGCTTAAAAAATATAACCATAGCAGCATCAAGCCATGAGATTTCACACTGGTTTTGTTTAGTCTGCTTTGGGTTATGTGGGAAATGTGGAAAGCATGAAGCAAAAGCCCCCCTCCCTGCTAAACCATGGGCCTCAAATATTTAAGCCAGTAGGTTTATACCTCTTGACTAGGAAACAGGCCATGACCTTGGGGTACTCTCTGGAGTACCAGGCACAAAGAAAGATGTAGCATGATCAAAGCCACGGCCAGACGAAAGAGAGCAAAGTCAAGTGTCAGCTGCCCCCTGACCTTGTCTTTTCAATTAATATTTAAATTCCAGAGAGGCACTTAGCGAGCATGCAGATACAGAGTTTTCTTCCTCACAACAGCTCCTTTCCAGTTGTGACATAGGAGGTATTTAGATCACTGCTGTTAAAATTGTCACAGAACAGCAAGTGCATAGGTGAAATTGACTCCACCCTTGCCAAGGTTCAGAGATAATATTCAGGTACTGAGCCAATCTTTTTAACACTTCATAAAATTCATAAATATATGATGCGTTTCCCCCACTTATCCTCCCTATCTTGCAGAATGACATAGGGGGTAGTTGGAAAAGTTGAAGAAAATCAGTATCTGAAGCCATCAAGAGAAAAGATCTTTGTGTTGCAAAGTCCTAGAAGTGGGAGAAGCTGGTTTAAACCATATAACTTTGAGGCTTTGCACATTCAGAGGATCATCAAGACCATGAAGCGTTACTGTTTTACTCAAAGCCTGCAGTGCCTATTCAGCTGAAAATGATGACCTTGGATTTTGTTTTCTTTACTTAACATAACATACATAGGTGTGTTTTTTTAAATGCTGCTTTCTAGTGACTTTGAAGTTGTATTAGCTTTGACATTTAATTAGTAATGGTATAAGGAGCAGCCTGGAAACCTCCACTGATTTTTAAGGCTAGGTAGGGGGCAGCAGTGAGTTGCCTTAACTTTCTAGAAGTCAGTTTCACATACTGAACAGTTAAGCTAATGCTTTTGGAGGAATTCTGCACCAAAATATTAAAAATTCTGTGCGCGATATTTTAAATTTCTGCAAAATTCAGAAAATGTTATTAAGGTAACACTACATAATCATGCCAGTTTCAATTATTTTGGAAATTTAATTCAAAATACGTATCAGCAAGTTTGTCTGTATCAATACAGACACAGGCGCCCAGACACAAATTCCCGCAGGAATAGAAACTTAAAGAAACCGCTGTGACAACTTAGTTCCTGTTTCTCAGCCTCCTTCCCACCAGAGCTAGCCATAGGGTGCCCACTGCCGGCTCAAGTTCCCCATGCCCTCTTCAGCTGTTGGGCTGCACCTTGCCTAGATACCTGCCCTAGCTGCAGCAGGTTAGAGGGCAGGCTTGGTTGGGTCTGAAGGTGGTGTGGCCACAGATCCCTGCCCTGTGCGGCTTCCTGGAAAGCCTGCAAGGTGTGAAATAGACAGCTGCACAGCCACGCAGCTTACATGGAACTTGCAATGCTCTCAGTCCTCTCCTGTGTGGACTTACTTGTGTAAGGAGTGGTGTCTAACTGTACC